AAAATATGTTTTTATTGATTTCAGAGAGGAAGGGAGAGGAAGAGATAGATAGAAACATCAATGATGAGAGTCATTGATTATTTGCCTCCTGCACATCCCTTACTGGAGATAGAACCTGCAACTCAGGCATGTGCCCTGACTGGAAATCGAACTGTGACCTCCTGGTTCATACCACTGAGCCTCACTGGCCGGGCATTTTTTTTTTTTTATTCCCTTTTCTTTGGCAACCATCAGCTTGTCTATATCTATGGGTCTGTTTCTGTTTTGTTTTGTTTATTCATTTTCTTTGTTGTTGTTTTTAGAGTCCACATATAAGTGAAATCATATGGCATTTGTCCTTCTCTGACTTACGTAGCATAATACCATTTAGGTCTATTTATGTTATCGAAAATGGCAAGATTTCATTCTTTTTATGACCTATTCAATTCCATTGTATATATATCACCTCTTCTTTATCCAGTTGGCTCATTAATGGACACCTAGGTTGCTACCATATCTTGGCTATTGTAAATAATGCTGCAATGTACATAGGAGTGCATATATCTTTTTTCATTAGTGTGTTTCTTTGGATAAATACCCGGAAGTGGAATTGCTGGGTCATATGGTAGTTTCTATTTTTAATTTTTGAGGAACCTCCATACTGTTTTCCATGGTGGCTCCACCAATTTGCAATCCCACCAACAGTGCACGAGGGTTCCCTTTTCTCCACATCCTTGCCCACACTTGTGGTTAGTTGATTTATTGATGATAACCATTCTGACAGGCGTGAGGTGAGATCTTATGGTAGTTTCGATTTGTATTTTTCTGATGATTAGTGATGTTGAGCATGTTTGAACATTTATCAAAACTAAGACATTACTGGTAAACGGAATGGTGGTTACCAGGGGCTGGGGGGAAAGGGGTGGGAATTGTCAGCCAGCAGGCATAAAGTGTCAATGAATAAGCCCCAGAGATGTGCTGGACAATGTTGTACCTATAGTCAGCAGTCATATATTGTTTACTTACCATTTGTTAGAAAATAGATCTCATTGTACATGTTCTTATCATGATAAAGTTAAAATAAACCAACTAAGACATTAACTTGGGTTCTCTTTACTATCAGCTGGACTACAAACTTTATTTCAGATTTCACCATATTTTCTGCTCACGTCCTTTTTCTGGTCTGGGAGCCCATGCAGGATCCCACGTAACATTCAGCTGTCCTATCTCCATGGGCTCCTCCAGCCTGGGTGGTGTCTTTGTCTTTCCTTGTCTTTCATGACCGTGGCACCTTGAAGAGCAGTGGTCAGGGATTTTGTAGGAGGTCCCTCCAATTGAGTTTGATGTTTCTTTTTTTTTTAATTAAATCTTTATTGTTCAGATTACATTTGTTCCTCTTTTTTCCCCCCCCCATAACTCCCCTCCTCCCAGTTCCCGCCCCACCCTCCGCCCTCACTCCCCACCCACTGTCCTCATCCATAGGTGCACGATTTTTGTCCAGTTTCTTCCCGCATCTCCCATTCCCCTTTCCCCGCCAAGAATAGTCAGTCCATTCCCTTTCTATGTCCCTGATTCATTATAATCACCAGTTCATTCTGTAAATCAGATTATTTATTCACTTGATTCTTAGATTCACTTGTTGATAGATGCATGTTTGTTGTTCACAATTTGTATCTTTACCTTTTTCTTCTTCCTCCTCTTAAAGGATACCTTTCAGCATTTCATATAATACTGGTTTAGTGGTGATGAACTCCTTTAGCTTTTCCTTATCTGTGAAGCTCTTTATCTGACCTTCAATTCTGAATGATAGCTTTGCTGGATAAAGTAATCTTGGTTGTAGGTTCTTGCTATTCATCACTTTGAATATTTCTTGCCACTCCCTTCTGGCCTGCAAAGTTTCTGTTGAGAAATCAGCTGACAGTCGTATGGGTATTCCCTTGTAGGTAATTGAGTCTCTTTCTCTTGCTGCTTTTAAGATTCTCTCTTTGTCTTTTGCTCTTGGCATTTTAATTATGATGTGTCTTGGTGTGGTCCTCTTTGGATTCCTTTTGTTTGGGGTTCTCTGCGCTTCTTGGACCTGTAAGTCCATTTCTTTCACCAGGTGGGGGAAGTTTTCTGCCATTATTTCTTCAAATAGGTTTTCAAAAAATATGTTTTTATTGATTTCAGAGAGGAAGGGAGAGGAAGAGATAGATAGAAACATCAATGATGAGAGTCATTGATTATTTGCCTCCTGCACATCCCTTACTGGAGATAGAACCTGCAACTCAGGCATGTGCCCTGACTGGAAATCGAACTGTGACCTCCTGGTTCATACCACTGAGCCTCACTGGCCGGGCATTTTTTTTTTTTTATTCCCTTTTCTTTGGCAACCATCAGCTTGTCTATATCTGTGGGTCTGTTTCTGTTTTGTTTTGTTTATTCATTTTCTTTGTTGTTTTTAGAGTCCACATATAAGTGAAATCATATGGCATTTGTCCTTCTCTGACTTAAGTAGCATAATACCATTTAGGTGTATTCATGTTGTCGAAAATGGCAAGATTTCGTTCTTTTTATGACCTATTCAATTCCATTGTATATATGTATCACATCTTCTTTATCCAGTTGGCTCATTAATGGACACCTAGATTGCTACCATATCTTGGCTATTGTAAATAATGCTGCAATGTACATAGGGGTGCATATATCTTTTTTCATTAGTGTGTTTCTTTGGATAAATACCCAGAAGTGGAATTGCTGGGTCATATGGTAGTTTCTATTTTTAATTTTTGAGGAACCTCCATACTGTTTTCCATGGTGGCTCCACCAATTTGCAATCCCACCAACAGTGCACGAGGGTTCCCTTTTCTCCACATCCTTGCCCACACTTGTGGTTAGTTGATTTATTGATGATAACCATTCTGACAGGCGTGAGGCGAGATCTCATGGTAGTTTCGATTTGTATTTTTCTGATGATTAATGATGTTGAGCATGTTTGAACATTTATCAAAACTAAGACATTACTGGTAAACGGAATGGTGGTTACCAGGGGCTGGGGGGAAAGGGGTGGGAATTGTCAGCCAGCAGGCATAAAGTGTCAATGAATAAGCCCCAGAGATGTGCTGGACAATGTTGTACCTATAGTCAGCAGTCATATATTGTTTACTTACCATTTGTTAGAAAATAGATCTCATTGTACATGTTCTTATCATGATAAAGTTAAAATAAACCAACTAAGACATTAACTTGGGTTCTCTTTACTATCAGCTGGACTACAAACTTTATTTCAGATTTCACCATATTTCCTGCTCACGTCCTTTTTCTGGTCTGGGAGCCCATGCAAGATCCCACGTAACATTTAGCCGTCCTATCTCCTTGGGCTCCTCCAGCCTGCATGGTGTCTTTGTCTTTCCTTGTCTTTCATGACCGTGGCACCTTGAAGAGCAGTGGTCAGGGATTTTGTAGGAGGCCCCTCCAATTGAGTTTGATGTTTCTTTATGATTACCCTGAGATTCTGGGTTCTGGGGAAGATATTCCAGAGGTGAGGCGCCCTCCGCCTCATGTCAGATAGGACACCTGATGCCCTCACATCGCTGATGACATCAACCTGGGCCACCTGGGGAAGGAGGGCCCTGTCAGGAGTCTCCACAACATAGTTAGCTTTGCCCCTTGACCTGCACTGTTCACTGGAAGCCAGCCGCTGAGTCAGTCCACCCTGAAGGGGAGGGGGGTTAGGTCCACCTCCTGGAGGAAGGTGTGTTGAAGAATTTTCAGTCACATGTTTAAACTGTGACGGTAACTAATAAATATTTTGGGGGTACGACTTTGAGCTCTGTAGATGTCCTGCTTCTCCTTGGAGTCTCACCGGTCACAAAGCTCACATCCATACGTCTTGTCTGCAATAATTCTTGCTGGAGTGTCTCTATGCTGATTATCTGTGTCTGACAAGATGATTTATTTATTTATTTTTAATCCTCACCTGAGGGTATTTTTCTATTGATTTTTACAGAGAGTGGAAGAGAGAGGGAAAGGCAAGAGGAATATCGATGTGAGAGAAACACATCGAATGGTTGCCTCCTGCATGCGCCCTGATCAGAGCCTGGGCCCGGGAGGAGCCTGCAACCAAGATACGTGCCCTTTACTGGAATTGAACTCGGGACCCTTTGGTTCGCAGGCCAACGCTCTATCCACTGAGCCAAACCGGCTAGGGCTGAGGGGGCGATTTTTGAAGGTTGCATCTGTGAATACAGATCATGCCCACAGGAGGTGTTCAGTACACAGCCCCTATTTCTTACTCAGGAGTCTGGGTGAGGGTTTGCTGTTTATATCACCAAGAGCAGGCGGAAGGTCCCTCATGGTGAGCGAGGACAAAGCAGGACTGTCTCGGGGTTTTGTCAACCAGAACCAGAGCCAGACAGTCATCAGAGCAGTAGAAACCGATTCAAATCAGGAGCTCCTGCAATGGGGAGAAGAGAGCTTAGTGTAGACCTGGGCCCAACTCCAAGTACAGTGTGACAAGTGGGGACTTACAGCCAACGAGTAGGTGGGTCAGTGGATGGGAAATTGCTAAGGGGAAATATCAAGGGGATTCTGGCTACACCACCTAACAGGATTCCTGCTACAGGTGGGGCAATCGAACATTGCCTGGGTGGGTGGATGGTGAGGAACAGTATTAGGTATCAAGAGTGATTGGATATGGCCCAGTTGGCGTGGCTCAGTGGTTGAGCATCGATCCATGAACCAGGGGTCACGGTTAGATTCCTGGTCAGGGCTCATGCCCAAGTTGCAGGCTCAATCCCCAGTGTGGGGTGTGCAGGAGGCAGCCAATCAATGATTCTCTCTCATCGATGATCTTCCTCTCTCACTCCTCTCTGAAATCAATAAAAATCCTATATAATAAAAGCCTAATATGCAAATTGTCCTCTCCACCGGGAATTCGACAGGGAGTTCGACTGGGAGTTTGACCAGGGGGCGGGGCCGGCAACGGCAGTGGCAGGCAGCAGGGGGAAGGGAGGCCAGCTGCCGCTAGGGACCCTAACCATGCACGAATTTCATGCACGGGGCCTCTAGTATATTATTTTTTTAAAAAAGAGTGATTGGATATAGAAGATGAAGGATTCTTGATTAACCACCTTAGCAGAATTCTTCCTAAAATTGGGCCTGACTAAAGTCTGCTCAAGGAGAGAGTCCTGTCACTGAGCAGAGGAACCAGGATCACCTCTTTCCCTGAGAGGGACGTGAGTCCTGCGGGCATGCGGGAGCTTCGAATTTCCCATGGGCTTCCAGGGCCATGTGTTCCCGTTTCTCGTAAATAACACGGGACAAGCCCATCTGGATGCTTCCTGCTGCGGGGCCAGAGCGGTTTGGCAGAAGATAGTCCAGAGGCGATTAGGGAGAAGCCAGGAAGGGAGAGAGGAATCTGAGACATGCGAGGGGTGGGCGCACCTGTGAGGGTCACAATGGAGCCTTTCAGAATGTGGGTCCAGGAGGATATACGGGGCTGAATGGTGTTCCCCCAAGTTCACATCTACAATGTGACTGTCCAGTTGACTCTTTTTTGTTTGTTTGTTTAATCCTCACCCAAGGATATTTTTCCCATTGGTTTTTAGGGAGAGTGGGAGAGAAGGAGGAAGAGGGGAAGAGAGAGGGGGGCAGGGAGAGAGAGAGAAGAGAGGGAGAGAGAGAGAGAGAGAGAGAGAGATGTGAGAGAGATATGTGAGAGAGACAGATCAATTGGTTGCCTCCTGCATGCTTCCCCACCTGGGTTGGGGATCGGACCTGCAACCTTTCGGTGTGCAGGCCAACGTTCTAGCCATTGAGCACACCAGCCAGGGCTGTCCAGTTGACTCTTGAACAACATGGGTTTGAACTGTGTGGGTTCACTTTTCTATGGGTCTTAAAAAAATAAATACATACACTTCTGTAAATGTAATTTTACAGAACATTTTATTTTTTGTAGCTTTATTATGAGAATAGAGTACAGAATACATATAACATACAAAATCCGTGTTAATTGACTTAATCAGTAAAGCTTCTCTCGTCAACAGTGGGCTATTAGTTGTTAAGTTTTTGAGGAGTCAAAAGTAACACACTGACTTTTGACTGACCGAGGGCAGGTTCTGGAGATGGGAACAGGCCTGGGTCTGGACTTCTTCATATCTTTTTGCAGCTCTGTCTGCCCAGAAACCTGCATTTTGCCAAGAAGAGAGAATGGCTGCTGGGTGCCTGCTCCCCTGGCAACAGGTGAGTGGAAACTTCCTCCTACCCTAAAAGGCACCCAGTGTGTCTGCAGAGAACATATACACTGAGTGGCCAGATTATTATGACCACCTGACATTTGTAGGCAAATTAGCTATAATTTTGCGCTGAAGTTGCTAGAGGGCCAGGCCATTATAAATAGGGAAGCAGGTTGTTTACCACGACAGTAGAAGTGATTTTTTTCTGAAGATATGGGTAAACAACGC